TTGCCCTCCGCTGGACCCTCTTCAGTGTGTCCACATCCTTTCTGTAGTGGGAGGGCCCAGAACTGGACACAATACTCCAAATGCGACCTCACCAGTGCCAAATAAAGGGGAACAATCACTTCTCTAAATCCACTGGCAATGCTCCTTCTAATACACCCTAATATGCCATTAGCCTTCTTGGCTACAAGCGCACACAGTTGACTCGTATCCAGCTTCTCATTCACTGTAATCCCCAGGCCCCTTTCTGCTGAACTGCTACTTAGCCAGTCGGTCCCCAGCCTGTAACAATGCTTCGGATTCTTCTTTGTTGAACCTAATCAGATTTCTTTTGGCCCAATCCTCTAATCTGTCTAGGTCACTCTGGACCCTATCCCTGCCCTCCAACGTATCTACCTCTCCCCCAGCTTAGTGTCATCCACAAACTTGCTGAGGGTGCACTCCATCCCCTCATCCAGGTCTTTAATGAAGGTGTTGAACAAAACTGGCCCTAGAACCAATCCTTGGGGCACTCCGATTGAAACCGACTACCAAGGAGGACGGCCATTCCGTAAAGGAGAAATAATTCATTTGTTTATTACACAGTTAAAACTTTCAGCTCAAGTCTGAATTTGTGGTTTAGGAGTATTGTTTAAAGAATATTTCTTTCTGTTACCATGTCACTCCTTGACCTTTGCAAGTGAGCTTCAAACAGACACTCATCATCCCTCTTGCTCAAGGATTTCCTCCCTCCTTCCTTTTAGATGGGAGTTTCTGCAAAGAATGCTTTTGGTTTATTTGCCTTTCCTCATGCTCTGGAATCCCTGGAGGAAGCTTAAACCAGAACTGGTATATTATTTTCTAGTCTGTGCTGGAATGTCAAGATCTCAGAGGATGCAGGAAAGAGTTTCTAGTGGGGAGGGCTTGGAGAGTACCAGCTTTGGCTCATTCTCTGACTGCCTAGCCTTGTTTTTCAAAGTTTCTTGAGTTGGCAGGCATGTGACAGATACAATATTTACTTCCCTCTCCTATATTTTCCTTTGGCTCCCTTTCCCCTTTTCTTCTCCTACTGAAAAAATGGCATGTCATTGTGACACATTACATAAAATGGCTGAAGTGCTGCAAAATTCCCAAGATTCAAATCACAAGTCTTGTGACACTGGGTAGTTTTTAAAAACCCCATGTGAATCTCAGTTATTTTAAAAAAGTTTTTAGCCCTCATGATTACAGAGAAAGGCTTGAAAGTGTAAAACAAGCAAGCCCTAGAGCAGGGCTACTCAACGTGCAGCCGATGGGCCACATGCAGCCCATGGCCCATTTGTTTGCAGCCTGTGATATGGATTGGGTTTACGCGGGGCTCACCATGTGACCTGCGGGTGGGATCCTTTGAACATGGCCTCCACTGGGAAAACGCTCCACAACGGCGAGGTGTCTCCCAGGCGGAGTGAGCACTGAAAGACGCAAGCGGATGGGCTGGCTAGAACAGACAGGTACAGGGTGTTGGCATTTCTAGCCCCTAGGGAAGAAGTGCCAGGGCATTGTGTGAAAAGCTATTTGCATATATTTGCATATAAATTTCCATGTATAAATTAAGTTGTGGCTCTCAGTATGTACTGTATCATTGTGGCCCCCCAGGCTTCCAAAGCTGAGTAGCCCTGCTCTAGAAAGTCTGAAAAACTAGAAGGCAAAGGAAACAATAACCCCCCCCCAAAAAAATCCAAACACCCTCCCCAACTAACCAAAAGACTCCCTCCACATTAAAAAGGTGTGATATTTATAATTTCATTATTTTTGTAATCTTGTCTATGGCAGCTTTTTGGAGGATATTCATAGATTCCAAGGCCACAGAGCATCATTAGACCATCTGAGTTGACCACTTGCATAACCCTGACCATAGATTTCACCCAGTTCCTCTAGATGCAGCTCAGTAATTTGTGTATGGCTAACACGTGTTTTTCAGAAAGGCATCCAGTCTTAATCTGCAGACCTCAAGAGATGGAAGATCCACCACTTCCACTGGCATTGTTGATCAGGCACAACATTTTAACAGTGAGACTTGGAACATTTGAACAGCTTTGGCTATAACACCCAATGGCTGAAAGTTAAATCATGGTCTGCAAGACTAAGGAGCTCGTTATTACCCAGTATTTTCTCTACATGGAGATATTTGCACTCTTTAAAAAAGTCACCTCTTGATCCTCTTTTCTGCTCAAGCTAAATAGATTAAAGCTCTTTAAATCTCAAACCCACACCCCTTTCTTTTGCTTCTCATTATGCCCCTCTTTGTCATGTTTCCCTGTACTAGATACGGACGGCCACAAACCTTGCTTAGGCATACCAAATGTGATAGTCACAAGATCTTTAATGCTCTACCAGTATAGCCAAGGTTCATTTAAATAAGATATTTTACACAGTGGCATCTAGTAACTGAACTGTGTTAATGGATGCTAAACTGGATTCAACATGCATTACACATTTGGCTGTAAAGAAACACATTTTACTTGAATGGATCCAGTTTTGAAATTCGCTAGCCTGCTCAGTAGGACTGCCTTCTCCTCACTGTTATTGATGTGAGAATGATGGGCAAGTTATGCTCTTGCTGTACTGAAGTATCAGAATAGGGTAACATATTTGATTTGATATTTTGATTTGTCTTCCTTTTACTATGGTGCTGTTCTATCTTCCCTTTATTACAGAACAAATCTGTTTGGGAATGAAGGGTTTGCATGTTTTCCCAGAGAGGTAACTTTTCTTTCTTACGTTTATTATCTTACCCGTATATTTAAATGACAGTATTTGAAAATACAGAATTTGGGGCCCTATTATGCTAGGCACTGGACACAAAGGGTATGTCTACATGGCAGTGTTATTTCAGAAGAATGTCAGACCGTATCAATACTACAAGCAGTTATTTCGACAAAGTTGAAATAATGGCGAGCTGGAGGACTTCTTACTCCAACTCCTGTAACCTCCATTTTACGAGAAAGGGAAGTCAGAGGAAGAGTGCTCTTTCTTGGACTTCCTGCTGTGTAGACACTGCCAAAAGCCGAAATAACTATTTTGACTTCAGCTATGCAATTGGCATAGCTCAAGTTGTGTAGCTTTAGCCCTGCTGTGTAGACATGCCCAAAGAGTTGTATACAGTCCCTAATGTAGGATAGACACCATGTAGCTTTAGCCCTGCTGTGTAGACATGTCCAAAGAGTTGTAGACAGTCCCTAATGTATGATAGACACCATGGGGAAGAGGTAAAGCTAGATTAAAAGGAAATTTAGGTCTGATTTCTAGTCTGATTTCTCTACTCATCCAGTTATACAAAGAAGCTTAGAGGCTTTACTGTGAAACCAGTTTTGAAAAACAACCTTAAATATAAAGCAATGCAAGGGGAAAAAAAAAGACTTGATAATAGCTTCTCTCACTGAATTATCACAGGCTCTCATGTGGTGCTTTCTTTCCGTTTGTGTGTGCAGGTGCAAGGTCTAATGTAACTGAAAACAGAATTGGGCACCAGAACTTTGTGTGTGTTTTTTGGAAGGGTAGTTCTTAGAATTCTTTCAGAACACATTCTCACTTGTAAGCCCTTCCCTGACCATTTAAAAAGCCCCCAGAACATGCTGACATCGGTCCTGCCAGGACGGGAAGCAATGCCACTTTGTTCTGTGTCCATCACTGTGGCCTCTGAGCGCTGCTCTTACAGTAGCCTTCACCCAAGAATCTCAACCAACTTTCCACACAAGTATTCAGTCAACTGTAACATCCTAGTGGGGAAGGCAATCAGCTTCCCCTACTACTGACAGTTGCTTCTGCATAGAGCACAGCTGCTTTTTAGGCCAGGAAGTTAAGGACACGCTATCTAAGCCCAAGGGACTGGGTTACTAATTAACCAAAGTGCAATTTCCTCCATGCACTAAAGTTAAACACACCTACTAGGCAACTTTAGAACCCACTGTGGAGTCAGGAGAGAAACTGACAAACATGCTTTCACAGATATGCCTCACAGAAGGCAACAGGAGAAACTCCCTGACTAATTTGACTGCCCAAGAGGAACTTCCTGTATTCACAAAGCTAAGGGGAAGCTAACAGGAAGGTCAGGTCACAGAAAAGTCAAGGGCTCTAAAGGAGACAACTTAAACAGGACATACAGATAGACTGTCAATGCACTAATAAATGGCCAAGAGTTCATATTTATGCCACAGCTAACAGACCTTCAGCTTTACCGTGATTGTTAATTGCATTCTGGGGCCTGGTTTAGGGATTACTTAGAGAAGACTAAAACATTGCCACTACTAATTTGCAGAACGTAAATATCAGTTTTGTTAGAGATGGAGAAATCCCACATGCAATTATTGACCTGGCAGGAACCTGCTTAGCTTGTGAGATTGAGCTGGTCTCACAGAACAAGATGATAAAGGTGCACATTCTACATGAATTCGCTGGGTGAATCTTCCACAGGCAACAGGTAAAACACAGCATGGATTGTAGAGGAGAACTTTACCCTGTTCACCTAGCAAACAGAACTTTCTTTTAAAGGCTGCTGAGTAACGTTTTCAAAAGTTTTGTACATGGGGTTGCCAGATGGTTTCAACAAAAATACCCGAAACACACTTGACATTACATCAAAATCTACATTACATCTTATTTAGAAAATACTGCACATTTATATTTTCTCATTTATATTGTCTCAATTTGTTTCCTGAACAGAAATCTCGAATACTGGACTGTCTGGTTCAAAACCGGACACCTGGCAACCCTATTTGTACACCATCTCTGTAAGCGATCTGAATATTTTGCTTCTAACGATCCCAAGAGATCTCCCTCTTTTCCCATTTTTAATCCAAGCATTTTTGAAATGACAAAGCATTTAGTTAAAATCAACAAAAGGGAACAGCAGTTTCACTGTTATAAACAGGTCTCTATAGGAATGAGGTTCAAATATACAACACTTGATTGCTCCAACAGTCAGAAATGCCTCCGGAGAGCAGGAAAAAGAGATCAGTGTAAGTTACTATTTGTTTTAGCTTTACCTTCCACTGAAGTTGCACCAACAGGCCTTAAAGTCTCTTGAATGGAGCACTTCCTTCTGTTTTGCCAGTCACTATTTCTTTTTTGTTAAAAACCAGTTGAGTCTTGTAACCTTCCTTCAAAGAAAAGGGGGGAAATGTTTTTATTTAAAAATGTCAAGTCTTTTGTGAAAAGATTTGCTTATGTGATTCAAATAAGGGCAGAGTTGCACGTTAGAGTGCCCCTCACTTCCTTTGCAGAGGTACTGTACAAACTTAGCAGTTTGCATTAAGAGTTAAAGGGTGCGGGTGGTGGTGCCCATGTAAAGGGTGCGGGTGGTGCTGCCCATGTGACCAATAGGGAAGTCAGAAGCTTGTGGCAGCTGGTTTTCTTCTCTATGTTTAACTGATTCAAAGGGCATTTACTCATGAGTTTAGGCCAGCTTGATGGGGGGAGGGATAGCTCAGTGGTTTGAGCATTGGCCTGCTAAACCCAGGGTTGTGAGTTCAATCCTTGTGGAGGCAATTTGGGGCAAAAATTCATCAGGGGTGGTAGTTGGTCCTGCTGTGACAGCAGGGGACTGGACTCAATGACCTTTCAAGGTCCCTTCAGTTCTAGGAGATAGGTGATCCATTATAACAACTCTGGGATAATCTTACCCAACCCTCTAGAAATAAATAAAAGTTATGTCTTGTGTACCTGCATTTATTCAAAGGGCTGGAAGGGCATGGAGAAGTCAAGTTCAACCCACGGCATCCAAGCAGGACCAGGAAAACTGAGACCACCCCTGACAGGCTTTTGGCCAACCTGTTCTTAAAAACCTCCAGGGATGAGGATTTCCCCAACCTCCCTCAGTCCCTTGTAATCCTATTTAGCTACCTGTACAGAAATGTTGCCCAACATCCATCCTAACACTACAGTTCATTCTTGTCCTTCAATTGTATCCCTGTCCATTCACTGAAGGATCAGTCCTCTTTGTTAGCATATTTGAAGACTGCAAGGCTATTATGTATTCTGGTTTATCAGCAACATCTCACCCGCTGCACGGAAGACCCCAGTTTTAATTTTTCTTTCTTGCGCACGTGCCTTCCAATCAAATACCTCAAAGCCCTTTACAAACATTCATTCAGTAGGATACACAATATGGGTTGTAGATGTTTTACTTATAGGCAAATTAAAGCACAAAAGATCAGGGATTAGACACTACCTGTGCTTTTTGGTGGTTCTTCCTTTAGCATGAGTAATCCACTTCCCTGAAAGTGGTAGCAGTAGTGCTGCATACACAGGGACTTAGGTCAGCTGCTTAGGTCACACTGCTCCGGTGTGTGGATTTTTCACTCCTCTGACTGACCTAGTTAAATCAACCGAATTTTCTAGTATAGGCCAGGCCTCAGTGGCAGACTGGAGAATGATTGCCCCTACTAATCCTAGCTGCTGGTCTTCTCACCAGTAGGGATGTAATAGTGTAATTAGTTAAACGATTAACTGATAAGCAAAAGCTTATCGGTTAATGCTACCGACTACACGCATCTTCCCCATGGCTCTGCCAGTACATTTTTTAGAGGGCTGGCCAGTAGCCTGGCTCAGTCCCAGCTCGCGCTGGGTCCCAGGAGCTAGTGGCTAGTCTAACCTGTTGACAGCAGCTGTCTCAGGGCCAGACTTGGCTTATTGGATCATATGCTGCAGTAATGACATGGGGTTTACCTAAGGCAGCAGTTCTCAAACTGTGCATCGGGACTCCAAAGTGACCCAGACAAACACCAAAGCCAAAATTACACCTCTGCTACAGCACCCTGGCATAAAATGGAACAGCTTAAGGTGGACTAGGCCTTAGTTTTACAGCACAGGTGGGGAACCTCGGGCCTGGGGGGCCAGATGTGGCCCTTGACTTGTCTGGATCTGGCACCTGAGGCTCAGAGCTCTCTCCCAGCACTGGAGAGCCTGTTCTAGTGCTCCAGCCTCTCCCCCTCACTATTCTTCCCCCCACCCTGCCTGGAGCTGGAGCACACAAAATCTACTAGCCTGGGTCGTCTTAGGCTCCGGTGTGTAAGAGGAATGTGGGGAGTGTCTTTCTCCTCAGCTGGGGGGCCACAGTGAGGCCTTGGGTTTGATTTTGGGGGGGGGGGGTTGGTTTTTTTTCTTTTAATTCTCACTTGTGTGCAGTGCCAGACTAATTTTTCTGTGGGTACATGGCCCCCAACCCAAAACAGGTTCCCCACCCCTGTTTTACACTTTGATACAAAACAGAAAGCAGGATCAGCAGTAAATTTGGATCAGCTGTGACACCTGGTGGGCAGATGGCTCTCATACCAGTATATGGCAGACCCTGCTTCTGAGGGTATCTGTTATGTAACTGCTACTACTTCATCACTTCCTACTCATGTTTTCTGGCTGCAAGTCAGATGAGCAGACAGATGGACAACAGAAAGTTTTGTATTAAAAAAAAAAGTCTTTCCCTTCATAAATAGCTTACATAGATTAACCACTAGCTATATCCCCATGACAACCAAAATCACAGAACAAGAATGAGATTTGGTTCAGTCAGCCACTGATCAAACATTCAACAGAATGCCAAGGAATGGTACAACCTTATAGCTGTGAATAACACAGAGAAGAGTATTTTACACCAGGGATCAATTGGCTTTTCTTATGTATGTGGAGTGGGAGTGGGGCAGGGTTGTGATGCCTGCTTTATTTTTTTCTGTCCCTTCCTGATGTGTTTGGTTAAAGTTTAACTGCGACAGATTGTTTCCAAATACACTTTTCTGCACCAAATCAAGACATGGTGTGTAAGTGGGTAAGGAGCATGGATCAAGTTTAGGTTCCATTTTTGATTAGCACCTGTTCTGACACTTTTCATTTAGGTTTTAAATACATTTCTTTCCCACAAATGCAAATTACAATCACCAGCTTTGCACCAGGTACAGGGCTGGAACACAGCTTCGGAGGGGTGAGGCAAGCATGGCTTTCACTCACCTTTGTGTTTCCCTGTTCCTTGGTCAGTCTGTATGGGAATGGACTTCTGACACCAGCTGCCCTTGGCTGCAGTGGTGTTGTATCATGCAAGCAAGGTACTAAAACTTCAGCAGAAATTTATTTACCAAAAGTGAAACCTCTTTACAAAACTGCTGCATCATGCTGTAGCTTTCACTCAACCCTCCCCTAGCTAATCTCTCCCCTCCTTCCTGTTTCCTGTGCTTCCAGCAGGGCCGTCCTTAGGTTTTATAGTGTCTTAGACGGGATTATTAAACAGGTGCCCCAGTACCTCACTTGCTCTTCCACCCCTACTCCCTCCCCTTCCCAGAGACTCCAGCAGCCAATCCCTTCCCTCAGACTGTGCTGCAGGCAGCACATTCGGCTCTCTCTAGGACCCAGCCCTGATGTTACATGCTCCATTCCTTCCCGTCATAGGCATGCGCAGCACATTTCATTAGGGTGTGCACCTAAAGAATTTTTTTTTAAATGTACTTTTTGACCCCCATTAGCCACACCCCTGACCCCTGTTAGCCACGCCTCTAGAGGCAACACTCTCAGGGCAAGATGGACACATGACCAAAAGTAAAAGCAATAAGGATTAGTTTGACCCCCACCAAACCACCCTCATGCAACTATCCTGCAATTACATTACCCCGATGTCTGTGACACTAACTTGGGGGCAGAGAGGCTGGAGGAAGTGTTCCCTCTAAGAGTTTCCTCTCATGAACAGAATGAATTTTGTGTTGTGCACTGTCGCGAGAACCACAGGTCTGATGATGCATACCCAAGCGGGGGGTGGGGGGTGGAGGACAAAACCAGGTGGACCATTTTAGTAAATTAAAGATGTTTATTTAGGACAGTGATGAATTTATAGTATTTATCCTAAGATTAATAGACGGTGCTAATAATGAATTATTTATTATATTTATTCAGGATTTCTAGTTAAACATGTCAGAAATAGAAGGATGGGAATGGCAAGGGGAATGGTCTCTATTCTAAAAACATCCAGCTACACTAATTAAATAACAGTGATAACTATAAACTCTATGTACTACCCAAAACAACTACAACACTAAGCTTATACAACAAAGAAAATCAAATCATACATACCAACTTACACAGCACACGGAACATTTCAAAGATATTGGTTCAGTTGGGAAGGTCTTGGTTACGCCCGAGAGTCGGGGGAGGTGGCTGGTCGGTTGATCAGGCCGGCAGCGCTTTGGAGTATACGGGAAGGCACATGCACGGTGGTACGTGTGTTGCGAAGACCTCCTAAAGCGAACTGTGCCATGGGTATTTATCCCCAAATCTGCACATCACTTTCCCGCGCTTGCATATTACCATATATGGCCCAACGGTCACCAAGTGGGAGTCTGTGTCCCAGGGGTTGAGCGACCAGGTAAGCCCTGCAGTTCTCACGCCAAGGTGACAGGTGGGAGAGTCCGAGGCTATTTTCCCCTTTTCACACCTTCCCTTTTTCTACAGCCAATGGTATGCAGGAAGCATGCAGCCGGTTTCTCCCAAGGAGTACTGCAGCCCATTATAGCAAGAGCGGCCTGGCCAAACTTTTTACTGGGGGGGGGCAGTTTCTTTTCTATAACACGTAGATGTGCCCTAAGAGACTTAGATACTAAGCTACATCATTGTAAAAACACTGCTTGAAAATAACTGTTGTGATATACGTCACAAAGTTATTCTAATGGCAGACTGATCTTATATAATTAATTAGAAGGCACTTTTATATTTTAGTAAGGCAAAGGCATCTCTCTTAGGCTATGACTACACTATAGACCAGTGATCCCCAACCTTTTGGGGCTGCCGGGCGCCCAGGGGCAGGGCTGCACATGTGCCCGGGGGCAGGGCCGCACACACACCGCGTGCCCAGTGCCAGCACCACCCATGCACCACACTCCTGGGGCCAGCGGCACTCCTGA